GTGTACGCTTCAAAAACTAAAAAAGGTCTGCACTGATTGAGCTCCAATTTTAACTAATTAATAATTGAAACATTTAAAATCGAAATAACTGACTGCATATAAGAAATCCTAGTAACTGTGAACTGATAGTTACCTAAATTTTATTTATATACGTACGTATACATTGGTTTTAAAACTGGATACTGCGGAATATAGAATGAACATAGGTTGAAAAATCTTTGATAGTCAAAAGAGGCTTGATAAAAACCTTAATTCAACTACGCCATAAAAATTTGATGTCAAAAAGATCTAAAGCTATCATCTTAAATTACTTATATTCTATTCAAACAGAGTAACGAAGTGTAAGCAGCACAAATAGAATTTATAATCCCTTCATTGTACTAAATACTTTTGATCTGTATTGTAGCATATTAAAAAAAACTTTGAGCTCGCAAATACATGAGTTTTTATACAGTTAAAATGGTAGCTTATGAAGGAGCTTAACTGTATTTATATTTTTGACATTTTTATTTCAGAATATATACATATATATATATATATATATTTTATATTTTTATGTTAAAGTGGGGTAACAAAGTACATTTAATAAAAAGTATGATATAAATTACCATGTTATTAAGGAAAAGTTTAGTGAGTTTTCGTTCGTATTTAATAAACTTTTCAATTATGGAAAATATCAAATGATAGAATCATAGGTCACATTTCTTTCGATGCCGGTTATAGAAAGCGCATTGTGGGACTCGTGATGGGCATTTATGGCGATGTAGCTTCTTGGTATTCCTGCTGAAAGTATTCCTCCTGAAGAAAGACTTCAACTTTCTGATACTATAGCTGCGGTAGCGACAGTTGATTTATAACAAACGTGGTCTTCTGAAAGAATTACATTCCGCCGAAAGAGGGAGAGAAGCGCTTACTCAGAGCCAATCACTATAAATTTTTAATTAAGAATAGACTAAAGACGATAAGAAGAAGCCTATTTCCTTTAAATTTTGACAGAAGAAGAACAACGGAATGTTTACTTTGGGAACTGCATTTGGTTTAGCATTAAACTGGCACTTTAAAACTATTGGATTTTCAATCTTGGCAAAAAATTGTGTGCACGAATATATTTTGCATTTGTCTGTCTTATTTCCTTTTTAGGGTTACTGTGTAAAAAGATCATTGCTCCTCCATTAAATGTTTAATTATCAAGTATGAGACCAAGTCTCATATTTATTTTATTTATGTTAAGACTAGAGGATTCGATCCCGGGATCCCGGGATCCCGGTCATATTTTAGTCCCGAAATTTTCGGGATCAAATTGAATGAATCCCGGGATTTTCGGGATTGATACATTTTTTACATAAGTCAATAAAAATGTGCGTAAAAAGAAACGCACTTGCCTTGATTTGATGTTTTGACAGCCATCTTGTCTACACAGCTGAATTCATTTGTTTTTGATAATGACCGGTTCTGGATTATGCGTAAAAGTGTGTAATTTATAAAGTTACTGGGCAATGTAATTAAAAAATATGAGTAGGTAGTATAAACATTGGTCTCTTAAGCATATAGTTTTTTTTTATAGTTTATCTAAATAAGTCTAATGAAGTTGATTTTTTGAAGTTTATTGTTAGTTTCATAAATTATTTACCGAAACACAAAACAAACTAGGCACTAGTTTGTTCATTTTATAAGAAGAAAGTATAATTTTGGTTAACCGCCTTTTTGGAGATTTAAAACTTAAATATTCTATGTCCTCACAAAACTAAATGATAAACAAAAAAAATATTTCGATATGTTTTACTGTCTTTTTGTTACCACTTTCCATTGCCAATACAATCCCGGGACTATCCCGGGATCCCGAGATTAACTGTAGATAATCCCGAAATCCCGGGATTATAAAAATCGACCGGGATCGAATCCTCTAGTTAAGACAGAAAGATGGAAAAAAAGTTTTTTATGAAACAAAATCTGTAGTACCGCATACGACATAAAGATTCCTAAAACAAGATACGTGAAGTACAAATAACTCTGTTTTCAATCCCAATGTTCTAAGGTTCAGTCTGAACGAAAAGTTTTTTTTTTTACTAAGGGTGCTTCTATACGATGCAAGTAGCTTGCGCGTGTTGAGGCATTTCCGCAGGTTATTTGCTTGGCGAAGAAGACCATGCTCGTTCAGCGACCCGCGCAGATTACTGTACGTGTACAAGCACCCTGGTAATGAACTGCGTCAAGTCTGAACGGAGCAAGAAATTATATCAACCAAACGTGCAAGTAACTCGTGCATGCTACTGACGCAAGTAACCCGCGTCTTTTTCCGCTCCAGCTACTTGCACCGAGTACCCTAAAGGTCTAATTGCTTTTGCTAATTTTAAAAGTATTTTGGTAGAGAAATTTAATATTTTTCCCTTTTTTATCATTGTTCCCTTTTAATCTACCGTTTCTTTTAATATACCTTTAAGTTCTCGACAAATAGTCTTGCTCCCTATTACCTAAGTTGAACTATAATCGGGCAACTGTGAGTATATAAAACGCTGCTGCCTACACTTTCGGGATTATAAGCATTCGTGCTATGTATTTGTTACTGCTAGAAATGAGACTAGAAAACCATTTTTTTTTGCATAAATGTACATATATAATTGATGACAGAACCGTTTATTGATGAAAATAATATGTATAACTTTATACTTACTTTATACACGTATATAAAAGAGAATTTTGTTTCTGCTTCAAGTAGTAGCTTCATTCCTATTAGACACAAAGGTCACTTAAAACGCCACTCTAAGTAACGTTCAGGCTTAGGTCGCTCATGGGTTCACACGTTAGTAATTTAAGTCGGTATTTAAGCCGGTTATATTTCGACCCTTGAAACATAATGAGGCATATAAGTTATATGGTAGAAATTTGAAATTAACCTAACGGGACTTAAACGAACACAGGAATATCTCAAGACATTTACGGGATAGGCGACGCTTCTACTGAAGTGAACGAGCTAAACTTCTGAAATATTTTATTCATCTAGGTCACACACGACATAGGACGGCTAGAAGCTGTATTATACATTAATAAAAAGTGAGGTAACTTATTTCTGATCTTGAATTATTTAATGCTTTACTATAAAATATTAGACCTTCGTACGTTGGACTTGCACTCGTTGTAAGACGTGATCGATATATTCTTAGTTTATAACTGACTAAACTGACCTACTTTGCCCTACTAACCTAGAGCTAAAAGGGACGACTTAAACTTGTACTGAAAAACCGTCAAAAATCCAGATGAAATGAGAAACATTATAAAGTCTTCAGGTTTGAGGCTCCAGTAAATTCACTCATTCTGTGAAAAACAATGAAAAAGTTGCTTAACCCCGGTTTTCTGCATAGCCGTGGTATCACACCGGTCAAGCCTGCCTAGTTGTGCCGAAGCATGGCCTTTACAATTAAAAAAAAAATTTACGAACTTAATTAATGAAAGTAAAATAAATTCAAAAGCTATCTAGTACCCAAACTAATAAATAGCTAATTATGGTTTCAGGTATGTATTATTATTATTTATTTACTATAGTAACGTCGGCTGTATCAACATGACAAAGAAACGTATCTCAACTACAATTAATACAGGCTTCTTGATTCTGTTGAACGTGCAATAATGTTAATTTTTAAATCTATATTTATAAAAAATTAAGTTGGTTTGTGTACGCTTCAAAAACTAAAAAAGGTCTGCACTGATTGAGCTCCAATTTTAACACGATTTACGAACCACTTTAGAGATTATTTTTATCCATTTTTTTTTAATTTTTCATCAATGCAACCACAATGTGCCACAGTGAAGCGTGGCAGGGTACAGCTGGCTTACTATACTATATAATTAGTAATCTTTTGTATTTTATGGGAAATAAAAATTATTATCATTATTGTTTTTGTTCTATCGACTTATTTTAATTCTTCTGATGGAATTAGGGTTCTCGTTAAAAGCGAAAAGATGGAATGGCATCTAAACGATAGTGTTGTAACCAAATATAATTGAAATTTATCAGTTGCAGTTATTGGCAGTAGTAGAGCGAAAGTTTAAAAAATAAATATTTTCGTTTACATAAAAAAATATTTAATACGAAATATATCTAAGTTTTGACTAAGTATCTAAATGTTAAAAAGTAGAATCAATAGGTTTAATTTTTTTTATTTTCATCAGTTAACATGGTTAATTGCGATATGGAAAGGTCCTAATAATTACAAAAAAAAAAATGTTAATTAAGGTGTCAGTTATTCCAAATCTGAATTGTGCCCTATTTTCTGAACTTGTATTACTCTCTACTACCAAATAAATAATTAAACTCCCCAACTTGTCGTATTAATGTAAACATAGCCTTATAATATGACAAAGACGATATAATGTGTTATATTAATGTTACTTAATGAACAAAGAGACGCAACAGACAGAGTTAGCAACTCGATTTTAGCCAATTAAATTAGACAAAAATAGTTTCTAACAATATACTCGTAATGTTTGGCAGTTTGGTGACACTTAAATAATATAATTATTTATGAAGTTACGACTGTTAAAAATCAAAAAGAAAAATTTGGACTTTCAATGGCATCTAAAATTTGTAAATACTGTCTAAAACATTAAATGCTACCTAATTTAGCGTCTAAAATTTATAACTTTTTCATGTGAATTGAAGACAGTGCCTAAATATTACTTTTTTATAAACTTGAAAACAACTGCACAAACTTATTTTAAAAGTTTTAGTGGAAAATCCCAATGATACAAAACATTTTTTCATTACCCTTTTGCATGTTATTAAAATAAAAAGTTACGAACAATTTAAAGCACATCACGTCGAAATAACTTAATTCAAATCACAAATAAATAAAAACCCTGGATGATATTTCAGAAATGAATATTCAGTAGTTTGTTTGAAAGTACGACTAAATGTAACCAGTAACTTACATATGAATATGTTAGTGAAAGTTAATGAAATACTAAAAATAAATGAAAGATTGAAGGCGGAAAGTCGATCTTACCGCTCGTCCTTGGGCGGAGGCAAACAGCGCCAACAACGCGACCGAACACCACAACATTTCGTGGCAGCGTAGAATCTGAGAGCAACCGCGTAGCGATCGACCGTAGCTGTCGGTCGCTGTAGCGTGACTGCCGCATGCTACGATCCCTCTACGAATCTAAGGGTGTCGCGTGCAGCTCGCTGCACGACCTCCATACTCGGACCTTCATAGTATGTACATTATGTAAACAAAGCATTTGACAATAACATGGAAGTAACGATCGACCTTTTTGTTTATATCTCACTGTTTGATCTAGTTCTAGGTCAAGGATATTTGTCTGATAATATCAATTTATTTGTTCAATTTCCTTTATTGCGCGAAGATAATATGAACGTCTGAGTTTGATGTCGAAAGTTAGCTCTAGTTTCCTTGTGTTGTTATTCCTACCATTATTCTTTTACTACTGTAAGTCACTTCTATTTATCTGGTTACTGAACAAGTCCTTCATGACCATCAGTTAGCCAATGACTAAATGCTACAACTGAAAGGATGATTATAATATTACATTAGTTAGACTACTTTATAACGATATTTGCTACCCAATTTGAGAATTCTTTTAGAGTGACATTCGTCAATATACAAAGTATTTTTATTAATACTTTTGGATTCTCCTGCAAAAGTTTTTTTATTCTTTTTTATTCCTGAATGTTTTAGTATACAGCATTTTTATTATTGTATTATATAATAAAAATTGTATTTAGGGTCATGGTAACCGGATGAACGGTTCGGTAGTGCATTGAACTAGAACAAACAAAAATTTAATATTTTATACTTTCCTAAAAGGGGATTGTTAGTCCGAAATTGTTGATAAAATTCGAAGATTCAAAAGTCAAACAACACATGTTCGATTATAAATACTTAGCTAATACATCGTGTGTTAAACTTTTAGTATAATTACCATTTGATAAATAGATGGCCAAACATAGCCATCTATTTATCAAAAATAAATCAACTACGATGACCCGAATATTATCAAAAATCGGTGAAGCTGAAATCCAAGTAGTTAGATCAGTTATGTCTTACAATTACTGCCAACGTTTGTGCCACAGTCGAATTCCACAGTAAACACGTCGACGAAAAATGTATCCATTTTACGGGTGTGAAATCGTATCTCACAATTCCGTTTCAAAGTAAAATATACAGGGATTTAGGTATTTGACATAGTCTAGGTTAAGACATAAATAAACAACAACAACGATGTCATGTATTGTTAAACGTTAAATTATCTAGTACCCTCATAAAATAATTTTAGTTTAATTTAAATATTTGTTGTGAATGATCATTTGATCCAGACCTACCAAATACAGTTAAAAAAAAATATGTCGATGCTTATTTAGTAAAATCAATCGAAGTATTTCAACAGAATTACCTCTAAAATATACGTGTAGTACCCATGTATATTTTAGAGGTAATTCTTCTTCTATCTATACACTTTGGTAACAAAAGGAAACTGAGGAAAAACCAACTAGAATCTATTAATGCTCTTGACTTTCCTCTTCGAAGTATGAATTTTTATTTTCACACAAAATATTATAGAATATAAACAAAAGTGGTTAAAATCTTATACATGGCACACACTAACATGGCAGCGATACCAAAACTGGTAATTCCCCTTTCTGTATGTTAATTATGTTAACCAGCAACTGACAACGTCCGTTTATGTATTGGACTTCAAAAAGCTAATAAAAAAGAAATGCAAAATAGAGAAACTATATCCAGTAATTATAGCCACTAAATATTAATAAACAAAGCCTTTATTGACTATATCTGAAACTAAATAGTTTTTATTTCGTGAAGTATTTTGTTTACAAATTATTGTTGTTATTTTTGCCTAAATAACATATGCCAAATTTGCTTAATTTACCTTCGTATTCGACGATAAATCCTTTTTGTACAAACGTGGTGGCGTGAAAAGTTTAACAAGTTTTATAAAGTTATTCGTTCTCGAAAATATTTTTTCTGCGCCACACTAACTTTACAGATTCAATACTCTGAGCAGTTATTTGTGGATCATACAAATAATGTGGGTATACGCTCGTCGAATATGTAAAAGGATTAGTTAATCTGTTGTGCAAACTGGACATTATTCAAATACATTACTATTCAAATTGGCAAGTGTTTTGCAAATTGTGTTTCGGAATTGCTTATTTACGAGTTCAATACCTAATCCAATTACCGCTCAATACCTTTGGATTAGGTGTATATTAATAAAAATAATTTAATCTATCATTTATATGTGATCCAAGGGCGGATAATTTTGTATAGGTTTTATATATTTTATTTTTCTTTTGTAATATGCTTAAAAATGTAATCAACATGTATTTTAAAATGTAATAAAGAGAATAATAATACTAAGTTTATTTCGGAACAAGCCCAGAGTTGTTAGTATACATATTTAATTTACAACTATTGTTAGTAAATTAAACAATATAATTTAAGTCCAGTATTTTTCACTGTGTGCTCCGTCCATTCACCTTTTTAATAGGGGGTAATCCAGTATAGGACCAATAATTTTATTTCTACCTTAACTAGCCGTACTTCTAATTGGATTTCTAACTGCAAACTAAATTACCTTCCTAGAAGTTAAAATTTAAAAGTTCTTTCTTACTTACCTCATTACAAGAATTTTCTGGGCAAAATTTCAATTTTACACAAGCTTTCGGTTGCTATTGAACTTCGCTTATGTGTTTTGCGGTTTCTTTTATGTAAAACTTAAACATTTGGTTTGTTAAGAATGTTTGAAAAGGAAAGTGAATATATTTGTTGGCAGAATTGTAGTTCAACCCGTTCTGTGGTTACTTACTAAATAGCTATTCCTAAATATATTTATTAATATAATAATAATAATATTCTACCACATTCACACAACGCCATCTAGACCCAATCTAAGCAGAGCTTGTACTATGGGTACTAGACAACTGATATAAATATATATATATACTTTTTTTTGTAAATACATACTTATTATACATAGAAACACCCAGACCAACCCAAACATTAAATGTTCATGCACACAAATGTTTTACTTCAGCGGGAATCGAACGCGCGACCTTTGGAATAGCAGTCCATTACACAAACCACTACGCCATCCGGTCGTCAAATATAACTATCATTATTTCTGTTAAATATCCTGAACCAATGTATCTGAGCCAAACAAGACTTTCCGGACACGGACGGAAGACGGACGGACAAGCCCGGATACTGAAATTGTCAAATTTTGGTAATATTGAGAAGTATCTAGCATAATAGGGTGCCTTGATCAGCAGCCGTATAATTTTCAACACAATTTGTTTTTCTTCTGGACGATGATAAAAGTAACCGCTATATAAAACGGACAACATCGGAACCGGTAACATTTAGGAACTTTACAAGGCCTGGGGTAAGATATTAAGATGATAAGGTACGTAGCACATACCTCCAATAGACAACTTTTCAATCTAGCAAGGATTTATATAACAGCATGGGAACACATAGCGCAGTTCAGGAAGAAATCCAATTTGTAACAATTTAATTTAAAAAAAAATGTTTTTTAAACTATCATTGTTTTAGGAATTACCTTTACTGGTAAGTTCTCTAGTCACACATGGACCAATTCTATCCAAACAATCCGACGCATCAACTGGAAGTATAAAATTCTATTTTTAAACCATCAGTGATCTGTTCGCCCCAATAAAACAAATTGCAATAGGTGGATAGGGGACCGGTGAATTAAAGGTTATGGTAACTACTTACACAGGTTCAAATATCATAACAGTAATACATAACAGTTAATAGAGATTTACCAAATAGTATAAGATACGATTAATTTTAAGTTGCTTGTACAAGAGACAGAGTCAGTTGACGATAAATAGAAAATTTAGGCAAGGAACATTCTCCTAAGTAACTATTATGACCAGTGTAAGTTATCTACGGTAGTGCATTAGACATAGCAAAATTTACAAGACAACACGCAGTAAATAGAACTATAATACATATATATATACGAAAGTAGTGTTCTTGTAAATATATTTACTACACCAATAGGAAATGCCTTCTACTACATTAATACTGCCAATATGTAAGTTTAGTGGGTTATAATAAGTTAATAAAATGTTCTATGATTTATACATATAATAACTAACTTTGGTACAAAATAGAAGAATTTAATGTTAAGTTCTTATCTATAATGAACTAATAACATCTTTACTTTTTACTTTTAGGAATGTCCGACTCTATTACTTTAGGGTCGAAATATGACCCATTTTCAGATGACAAACGATATTGTTTGTGTAGTGGAATAAACCATGAATAATTTATGTTAAAATCGTTAAGGAAAAGTAGTAAACGATAAATTCCGAACGATAAAATTATTCAAAGGTTCTTATGTAGGTACATACATACATTTTGATGGTAAATTTCTCTTTTGTGTAAGAATCTTTACTAAGGGTTTCAAGTGAACTAAAGTGTCTTGCAACCTTACTGTCATCAATGTTAATGGTTTTATAGTTAATATTCACTATAATCAATACATTTTAAATTAAAAATAATAAATCAGTTACAATAACACAAACGTAAATTTATGCCTTAGGTACTACTGGCAGAGACACTACACCGCCACTTGCTTGCCATCAAACATATAATACAAGCATGATGGTTCATACTTATTTAAACTGAAATCACAGGTCTTTGACCTGCCAAGACTCCAAGCAACCATTCATCATCATCATCATCATCATCAGCCTATCGCAGTCCACTGCTGGACATAGGCCTCTCCCATTGCACGCCACTTAGATCGATTTTGGGCTTCTCGCATCCAGCTCCTGCCAGCCATCTTGCGCAAATCGTCACTCCACCTGGCCTGTGGGCGTCCTACACTACGTTTGCCGAAACGCGGTCTCCACTCAAGAACTCGTTTTCCCCAACGGTTATCGGTTCTGCGGCTAATATGGCCAGCCCACTGCCACTTCAGCTTGCTGATCCGGTACGCTATGTCGGTGACCTTAGTTCTCTGCCGGATCACCTCATTTCTGATGCGATCC